AAAGCATTAAGTGAGGAATAGGAACTTTATGTTAGTTTCTCAACTTCCCTATACCGGATATCAAGACCAAGCCGTTTTAACTGTACATTAGACATAAGAACAACCAAAAGATATTGGTGTCTGTCATTCTAGCTATACGGGGGGCGGGGGAAGGGTGGAGATATACTCAACCAAAACAACTTTTCAAAGTCTACACCATCGCTGAGAGGCCAAGCCATCATAGTTTTGATACCTTCAAAGTAGATGAATGCATGGACGGTCCAGGTTTCCTAGTTTATCAACGGCGACTTTGTTCAGAAATGAGCGCATTGTTTGTCTGCTGCCCTCATCGGATACGCTCAGGCTAGTGCTGAATCGAAATTATCGGCCTGTTGCCTCCAGTCGCACAGCCATTTCTGGCCTATGAAACTCGCATAGTCTAATCCAACCTAAGCTAAACAATATGTACAGATGGCAGTTTCCTTGCACACACTTGCATACTTGAATGGTCGCAGGTGACTTTGCTATGAAAGTGCCAGCTAAAGGGCATAGTCGGATTCGCTTTCGTGTCTAGGGGAATTCAAGCCATACTGCAGAAAACATGTGTACATGGAATTGTACGTACAGGACTATGTCGGCTCAGCTTTTTCATTTGGGATTTTGGTTGTAAAAGCAGACAGCTACTATGTCCCATCTCCTCTGTAGGCCGTCTATCATGTCGAGTTAAGCCGGCTCATGAGTGCCATTCATTCGTGGTTTTCTGTGGTTTCCTGGTCTACAAATCGGGCCTTCTTACCTCCTTGATACCCACAGTTTCCGTTCACTTCCCTTAGTCGTCCACAATACTTCAACAAGCCCAGCTCAGAGAATCAAGGTGCAAATCTGTGATGAAGCCGGTCGGCTTTTCCTCACCTCTAATGCTTATACCGTAGTTTTTAGTTGCGAGTAAATATAGTACACAGGACAGTCTTCTTGACTTAGGATAAACTTGAGGCTTTTGCAAGAATAAGTTCCAGCCATGACAATGTCTGTCTTCTGCCATGATTGATGAAAGCTCAGCCGGTTTTTTCCCGAATAGGGGGACGACGTCTCTTGGACGGCATCAATTTGAACGCCTTATTAACGTCAAACAGATGCATGACAACGGAAATCAGTCGTCGTCTTGCGGTGAGATCAACATACGAATCTCTTTGTCTTGAAATTGCATATCAGGTGAAAGTCTCCATAATAATTTTTGTAATCAAGGCCAACTTATAGTGTCGAAACTGCTCACATCGAATATGCGTATCGTTTCTAGATTGTAATGCCAAGTTTCTAGAGCGGCCTGGCTTGCCTTAAACATCGCGCTGGCTGTGTGACCCACTGACCACGCAACCAAGTGGCAACGCATCGTCATGATCTCGTTGGGAGCGCTGATAAGATCTGGGAAGGCGGAAAATGCAGGCCGGTCCAGACGGAATGAGAACACTTTTTTTAGGGGGAAATGCTCGATGAAGTACAAAAGACTTTTTAGGCGTGCTCATTTCGTCCCTGGGACTTCGACTAAGGTTAACCAACGTTCTTACTCTTATCTGCCATAACCAAACCTTATGATGACTACAGT